GTTCTCACTGGGCCTTTCTAAGTTCTGCTTTCTGGTTCTTCTTGACTATTGTATCAAGCAAAAGATGCACCTGTGATGGCCTTCTAGAATTTGACTGCATGGCGCGTTCTTTTTAAATTTCTTCTGATTGCCCCATTTTGTGCTTCCTTTTGTAGAGAACAGTCCAGATTATCACCTAGGGTTCCTCTTGGAAAGGAATGCAGATTTTCAGTTTGCATTAAGAAACTGGGGAACCTTTCCATCGATCCTGGTGTAGCGCCTCCCCATGTCCAGGGTAGAGCTTGTACCCGTTGAAACTGCACCGCTCCACCTTCATGTCTGGGTACAGAGGAACAGGGAAGATGGCGAAGAGCTGGTCTTTGTCTTTTGATCACTCTGAAGTTGATCAAACCTGAAAAAGATGCATTGGACATTACTGGTTGGAGTATGTATATAAATGTTGGAAACCAAGGATAAAGATCCTTAGTTAAAAAGTACAGCCTTGGTGCTGTACATTGGTGACAATTCTAGAGATCACATGAAAGAATTTTCCAAGACCAGTAACTGAATCATTGGAAGTACTCCTCGTGACTCTACATACAACAAAACGAAGCACCGCCCGTCCCCCACTTTCCCTGTTCATCATGATGTTACCTACTGGTCCAGCTGGGAGGAGTTTTGCCTTCATTACATTAAATTGTAACCCATATTGAAGGCTATAATCCTTCATCTTCATCAGCCAGTGCTTCAAGTCCTTCTCACTTTCACAAGTAGGTGACTTTAAGGAACAGGGATGCATCTCCTCACTGTTCTGAAGGCTACAATTCAAAACCAGGGTCTCTGCCGCATCAATTCCTTGTTTGTTGGCAGCCCTGGCATTCCTTGGTCCCTTGGCAGTCTCCATGTAGCATCTTCCTGTGTAGCTATTTGTTCTTTATCTCACTCAGCAGTGGCTAGGTGTTGGTTAGGTTATGACCTAACAAAGAAAACCCCATTCCAAATGGAATTACATCCACTGGCATAGGGGTTAGGATCCCAGCCCACATTTTGGAGGGGACACAATTTAATCCCTAAGAGTAACTCTGGCCACTACTGGCCAGGAATTTCTGCACAGTGTCATGGGGACCCTAGAGGGGCATGAGGATGACCTGGCAGCAATGTTGCTAACCAGGGCCATGCAGCAGGAGATGCCTGGGGCAGCCTTTGCCAAAGCAGAAACCATGATTTATCCCAGAACGACTTGGCTGCCTGCCATCCTGCCCCCTGGCATCCACTTTGACCATTAACCAGATTTCCTGTGAGGACCATGGGTGGAAAGCTGCTCAAATTCATTGATAGAACTTTAGCAGGGATAGGTGCTATCTGGATGCAGATGAGGACAGACTCTGAGGAAGCAGGTTTAGGACTAACTGGCTGATCGCAATTAACCCTCTGCTAATGAGCAGGTACCTAAGCAGGGTGCAGTCAGGACACAGCATGTCATAGGCAGGCCAGCAGGAACACATGATGGAAGTCTCCAGGGCTAGAGGAACAAGGTAGGTCAGAAGAGCAAAGCCAAGCCTAATGGGCTTTGGAAGGTTGGCTTCTGCTGTTGAGGACACATGACTTCAAGAAGCAACAGGCTTGGCTATAAATCTGCCGTGGAGATAAAGAAATTGAGCTTCTCTGGATTCATCAACCTGCCACAAGAATTGTTGTGGGCAAAACACTCAAGACAGAGAGAAATGGCTTAAGGAGAGGGGAGGGGCACTGGACCCTGAGGCTTGGAGGCTGGGAGGAGGTGAGGGCAAGGTCAGGCAGGAAGCCTGGGCAGGGAGGACTCCCTGGAGGCCTGGGAGTGAAGGTCCTTTTTCACAACAGAAGGAAGGGCAGGAGGGTAAGACCAAGAGGTCAGGGCAACTGCAGATGCAAGCACATGGGAAAAGGGAGGGAAGCATGTTCCCAGGGACTCGAGTATGCAGGATGAGAAACCAAGGGGATGCCTCAGGCGCCTCTTCCACTTGGCCCAGGCTGTGGACAGAACAGCTGTCTGATCTAACATCTAAGCCAGAGAGTGCAGAGACCTTGAGGGATGGCCTCAAAATTCACTGTAAAGACAAGTAGAGTCTTTTCCAGGAAAGACAGAACCAGTGAATGTACTCTAGAAGCCAGATAGCTGGACACCTCTTACTACGTCACGAGAGGCTCTTATATCCCCTCTTTGTCACTTTTGCTTCCTTCTGTTCATGTTCCTATCATGATTGGCAACAAGATGTTTGAATACAAAAGCCAGATAAACAAGCGCACAATCACAGATCCTGCCTACAGGTCTCTGGTTGAACACACACCACTCTGAGAGAGAACAGCCTCATATTTAAGAATAAGAAACTTGCAAGGCTAGAACAAATTTTAAGAAGTCACCTAGACAAGAGGAAAGCAAAAGGAAATAGAGGAAAGAGCTAGGAGCCAAAGGGCATTTATAGAGGTCAAAATAAACACATGTATATATGTAAATATGTTTATATGTGAGGATGGGGAAATAGATCTATGTACATATATTTATAGGCTTAGTATTAAGGTAGCAGATGGACATTGGGTCTCCACTCAAGTACTCTCTCATTGCAAGAATACTTTGTTCTATTAAACTGGCATTCCATGATGCTCACCTCCCCGATATGATCACTGAAGACAAATGGGTGCATAAGCAAATGTGGTGAAGAAAGCTGATGGTGCCCAGCTATCAAAAGATACAGTGTCTGGGGACATAAAGACTTGAAAGTAAACAAGCGGCCATCTAGCTCAGAAGCAACAAAGCCCACATGGAAGAAGCACACCAGCCTGTGTGACCACGAGGTGTCAAAGGGATCAGGTATCAGGCATCAAAGAACAAAACATCAAATCATTGTGAATGAGGGGGATTGCAGATTGGGGACCCACGACCCATCTGTAGGCAACTGGTCATCCCCTTAACAGAAGAGTCACAGGGAGGAGACAAGCCAGTCAGTGTGCTGTGTAGCAACCACAAAACATACAACTTTCCTCTAGTTCCTAAATGCTTCCTTCCCTTCACTATCATGATCCCAATTCTACCTTATGAATCTGGCTAGACCAGAGGATGTACACTGGTACAGATAGGAACTGAAAACACAGGGAATCCAGGACAGATGGTCCCTTCAGGATCAGTGGTGAGAGTGGTGATACCAGGAGGGTGGAAAGGGGTAACCAGTTACAAGGATCTACATATAACCTCCTCCCTGGGGGATGGACAACAGAAAAGTGGGTGAAGGGAGACATCGTACAGTGTAAGACATGGCAAAATAATAATAATTTATAAATTATCCAAGGGTTCATGAGGGAAGGGGAGCGGGGAGGGCAGGGGGAAAATGAGGAGCTGATGCCAAGGGCTTAAATAGAGAGCAAATGTTTTGAGAATGATGAGGGCAACAAATGTACCAATGTGCTTAACACAATTGATGTATGTATGGATTGGGATGAGAGTTGTATGAGCCCCCAATAAAATGATTTTTAAAAAAGAATTCACCTAGAGAAGCAACCCAAATATCCATGAATGGAGAAGTGGGTCCAGAGAATGCAGCACAGTCTACCCATGCCTATAAAGAGGAACGCCTTGAGTTGTCGAGGGCTGTTGCGTCACTTGGATGAACCTTGCAAACATTACACTAGGTGAAAGAGGTCCGCCATCAGAGTCATATATGCGTATGCTTCCATGTAAGGGAAAGTCCCTAACTGAGAAACCCACAGAGACAGAACATAGATGAGTGTATGTGTAGGGCTATGTGGAGTAGGGAATCACAGGGCGGTACAAATGGTTTCACACACTCAGCTGTAACAGAAAGGTTGGAGGTTTGAATCTACCCCAAAGCATCTTGGAAAAAAGGCCTGAAAAATCAGCCCCTGATAGACCTATGGAGGATTTTCTACTACTTTGACACACATGTGGAGTTGGTCAGACCAGACTCACTCTCTGCCATGTGTCTCCAGTATTGTCCTCTGTCGCGGTATGCTCCAGTGAGGGGACATCGTGTCTTGAGCTGTTGTCAGCCCTACAGTACTATCTGTGCCTTAGCAGCTCCGTGCAGGGGTGACGTGCTCAGGGCTTGGTGTGCCAGTATGGGGTCTGGTCCCTCTCTCTCTCTTTTTCCTTCTTGGTTTGCTTCCATGTGGGCATGGCAAGCTGCCCCCTCTCCCAACCTGTAGGTTAAGTGTTGTCCTCTGTAGCACATACTTGTATGTGGAGTCAGCAGCTCTGATTGGGGATGGCCCTGTAGCCCTCTCTGTTCATGAGTTGCTCCATGTGGTTACGTTGCAAACCCTCAAGGTTTGGTGCGCCTTGATGGGGTCTGCACTAGATAATATTTTCTCAATGTTGCTATCCCAAAAATGGGATTGAAAAAGAAAAAAGTCTTTCCATGTCATAAACCTCAGCAACTGAGTGTGTAGTTGCTTCTCCAACTCCTTCTATTGACTAAAACTAATATTGAATATTAGTTTTGCAGAACCCATGCCCTAGGGAGAATCTCAGAACACAACATGATTTACTCAAACATGAAAAGAAAGCCCATCTGAGCTTGAAAAATATAATTTTTGTTCTGCTAGTAGCAAATGAGAATATTGAATGAGATGGCCATTTCTTAATGTGGCTGCTTTTAAGGCAAACAGTAGCAGATAATACAATCCATGTGACCACTTAGTGCTAAAAGCTGAGTCACAACTGCTCATCCGGCTACACCAGGGTACAGTGACCAAAAGCCACACCAGTTGCCATGGAGTTGATTCGGACTGAACACGATGCTGTCTGTGTCGGAGTAGAGCTGTGCCCACAGGTGCGCGGTGGCCGATTTCCCAGAAGTAGATCAGCAGGCCTTTCTTAAATTAAAAGGCTCCTCCATGGAGACTCAGCACTCCAACGTTTCAGTTAGCAGCCAAGCACACTCACCATGCGGGTTGAATAAAAAATAAAAATATAGTCATTGAACAAAGCAAAATGTGTATAAGTTATGGATTATCAGGTCTCTCGACCTTCACTTATTCACAGACACGAAGATGTAGTTATCGCTTGTCACCTAGACACAAAGACAAAATGGGCACTGTTCTTTAAGAGGCTTCTCCTCTGGACTAACAAAATATCAGTGGAAACAAATCAACTTAAAAAGAAAGGTTTAAGTGGGGGAGGGGAGACAGTGGATGGTGTAAAATATGAAAATAAAAATAATTTATAAATTATCAAGGGTTCTCAAAGGTGGGAGGGTGGGGGAGGGAGGGGATAGCAAGGGCTCAAGTAGAAAGAAAATGTTTGGGAAATGATGATGGCAACATATGTACAAACGTGCTTGGTACAACTGATGTGTGGATTGTTATAAGAGCTGTATGAGTCCCCAATAAAATGATTTATTAAAATAAAATAAAAAGAGAAGGGTTTTTTTGTTTGTTTTTTTTAAAGCAAAACAGAGATCTACCTGTAGCTTAATCCATTAGAGTATAAGGATTTGTACTTATCCCCAGTCCAAGGATTTGGGGAACTCCCCAACTTCCCATAGGCCCCCAACAACCCAGAAAGTCTCTTGTTCTCCATGCAAGTTCTCTTCCAACCTAGGTGGACACCAGCCCATAAAACTATAAAGTAAAATGTGTCAGTTCTGTGGAATTTTTGTTCTTGGAATAAATTGTGTGAATTTCTTAGTGGCCTGTTCCATGGAAACATCCTACTGGGAGACGGATGGGGTGACTCGGGTTTTCCTGGCTTGAATTCAACAATCAGGGTAGCTAGTCAGGGATGCACTGATGACACAGGGGCATGCTATGAGGCCACAGCCACTCCAGAACTTGTTATGTTGTTAGCAGCTATAAAACCAGCCCCAGTGCTGTACACACAAGGGACAAAATAGTGCTCCATCTCAGGCCATCCCCATGATGAGGTGAAGATCCAACCAGGTGTGATCTACAGTGTTTCCTTTTTACTTAAACAATTAAAGCAATATGTTTCTAAACTTTTTATTGTGATTTGGATGAACATGGACAAAATGAGTCGATGTTTCCATTCAACAATTCACACACATTGCCACACTTGCATTCTTCGCATGGAATGTAATCCCACCACGAACAGCTCTCTCCCCACTTCCTTCCTGTGCTTCCATTTCCCTCCATTCTTCTGTCCTAGCCCTTCTAACCCTCTGAGCTTTATCCTTGGACAAAGGCCGCCTTTCTGATCTTGTGTAGTTGATTATCTGAGGGAGTACGTACCTTCCTAGTGCCATAGTTTACCTTACAGGCCTGTCTGTCATCTAGATAAAAATTGGACCACAGGGGTGAGCATCTCTAAGCCTGAAGGGCGTCTGAGATCTCAGGGTTCTACAGGTCTGTATCAAACCTGTAAACTTGGCCATTTTTTATTATTTTGAATTTTGTTTCACAAGTTTCTCCCACTCTGTTGCAGGAGGACGCTGCCTACTTGGATCCCTTTCAAAGAAGTAGCCGTGGTAGCCAGGCATTATCTGGGCTTGGGGCCAGTTGTTTTCATGACGTGCTTTTGGACGTAGATCACTAAACTTTTTTTCCTAGTCCATCTTAACTTGGAAGCTCTGCTGAAACCTGTTCTGCCTTGTAACAACATGCCAAGTATCTGCATATGAGATGTACAATGTGTACATTGATGAAGATGGATTGTAATAAGAGTTGTAGGAGCCCCCAATAAAATAATAATAATTTTTAAAAAAAACAGTTTTCAAACTCTACCTTAAAAAAAAAGAAAAGAAAATTGAACTCTTAATCTCCCGCGTAGGATGTGAGAATTCTACCACTTAACCACCAATGCCTCTCAGCACTTGTTGTGTTGGTGTTGTTAGGTGCCATCAGGTCAATTCCAGTTCATACCAACCCTGTGGACAACAGAAGGACACACTGTCTGGTCCTATTCCAGCCCATCGCTGCAGCCGTGGTATCAGTCCATTTCATCAAGGCCCTTCCTCCTTGTCGCTGCCCCTCCACTTACCAAGCCTGGCGTCCCTCTCCAGGGATTGGTCTCTCCTGACGTGTTCAGGATCTTTCAGTCCTCTGGGGAGAGAGAACCCCGGAGCATCAGAAAAAAACACCGAGACGAATCCTCTAGGAACTTATTGTGTTGATAACTAAGTTGAGCTTTATAACAACAAGCCACAAAAAGTCCATTAATGTCTGGACTTTAAGAGAAAAGCTGAGCAAACAATGCTTCCTCTGGGTCAAAGCGAGGGACCGTACTTCTTCCGAGTGCACAGAGGCCGGCAGGAATACTGGCAGTTCATGCCGAGGGCGTTTCCCCAGGGCTCAGCCTACAGGACACGATGTCTCAGAGAAGTCATGTTTGTGAGACAGCACACTTCAGTAACTTTGTGACTGATATTCAGCGGTCCTGCCTGTAACAGTGTTTGCTCAGGTCAACTCTGAAGAAGAATGAATGTCTGTTTATATTTAGGACATTTCTGCAATGAGTTGTGTTTATACTTAAATCACTTCAGGTAGCTTTCTAAAGTGTTAGCAAAATAAAACGATTCGTACTAAAGCTAACCAGATGCATACACTATGACCCAGCGACCACTCCTAACTATATATCTGATAGAAATGTACACATTTGTACATCAAAAGCATACACACAAGAATGTTCATAGCAGCGTGTCTTTGCTATCTAGTGCTGCTATCATAGAAATAACACAGTGGATGGCTTTAATAAACAGAAACTTCTCTTCTCACAGTTGAGATGTTGGACATCCAAATGCAGGGAGCTGGCTCTAGAGGAAGGCAGCTATGGAGCAAGGGCTTTATCGCTTCAATTTCTGCTTCCTGGTTCCTTGGAAATCGCCATGTGTTTGGGCTTCTATTTTACCTCGTCACTTTTGCCAGTTCACTTTTTCTCTTTTATCTCCAAGAGATTGACTCAAGATACAGGCTGCCTCATTAACATAGCAAAGAACACCCCTTCATTCCCAAATGGGATTATAACCACAGGTTAGGGACAACACATATTTGGGAGAGACAATTCGATGCAAAGCACAGCAATATTCATAATAGCCAAAGAACTAGAAGCAATCCCAGTGTTCATCAAAAAGAGCGGTGTGTTCCTATGTGGAATGCCACAGAACAGTGAGTGACCTCCAGGTACACATGTCAAGTTTTAAAAAAAAAGATGTCAAAGAGCACATACCATATGATTCTCTTTATACAACATTTAAAAGTGAACAGAACAAATTTATGACATGGAAGCTAGAACAATGTTTTCCTTTTCTGGGTAGCTGGGAGGAGGCATAAGAATTCAGGAGTCCTAGTAATTTATTTTTGACGTGGCTAAAAGAGACCCTTACCTATGAAAAACCATAATGCTCCTACGATTTGCACCTTTTCTCTGTATCTGTTATACTTAAATAAAAATGTTTTTAAAATTAAGCTTAAAAGATTGTGTGTGTGTGGTAGCTCTAACTACCGTGAAAGCCAATATATTAGGGTTGTTGTAAACAAAAATTTAAAAATTTTCAGTTTGCACGTATAGCATTTGATGTATCTAGAGAGACGCCAATTTGTAGCACACTCGTAATCATTATTGGTTCAGAATGCTGACTTCTGAAACCCATGTCCTATACTTAGCTTGAATTTTGAGATTGGCCCTGCCACATTGTTTAACAACTCAATCTTGCAATTTAAAGAAATCTAAGACACTCATTTTGAATACACACTCGAAAGATCTACCCCGATGACCTAGATCTTAGATTTCCTTCATATTTTACTTTGGAATTGAACTCATTACCCTAAAAATATACCGGACCTTTTTCCCTTTATGTGATGGAGGCTCAGAGGTCACTGAGAACCTCTAGAGGGCAGTTTCTTGATGAAGAAATCCAGTAGGGCCCAAACCTAAGAGCCGACGGGGAAGGAAGCAAAGGACTTGTTTACCACGTTTTCTTTTGGGTTACTTAAAAACTAAAAATATTGTATTTTTCCTATAGTGTCTTGGTAGCAAAGAAATGTAAAAAAACGAAACAATCATTATTTTTATAAGACCATCTCAGCTTTTCTTTTTTTAAGTACACACTGTCTTTTGTTTGTCTTCTCCCTCTAGTATGGTGCTTGTGAGAGTTGTGTTGATACAGTTGGGGGTGCTCATTGTTGACTCCGTCTCACAGCTGAACAGAACGCTGGTGGTATAGTGAGTTATGTGTTAGGCTGCTAAACATAAGGTCAGTAATTCAAACCCACCAGCCGCTTGGGGGGAGGAAGATGTCAAATCCTTGACAACTTCAATCTTTTCTCCATTTATCTATAATGTGGCCTATTGGTCCAGTTGTGAGGATCTTTGTTTTCTTTACATTAAATTGTAACCCAGATTGAAGGCTGAAATCCTTGATCTTCATAAGTGCTTCAAGTCTTCCTCACTTTGAACAAGCAAAGGTGTCATTTTCAGATCGTTTTCATTTCATTGTTCATTAATGAAACATTCATTTTCCTTCTGTAAGTGTGAAGTGGTTTTATTGCTAATAAAAAGATCTATAAATTGCCAAACACACACACACACACTTGCCAATTTAATGGGTTTTTGTGTGTACAATTTAGTGATATTAGTTACATGAATCCTGTTGTACCATCATCACCAGTATCTGTTGCCAAATTGGTAGGTTGTTATTCTTTTTTTTTTTTTGGTAGGTTGTTATTCTGCAACGAAAAGTTTACATGGAAAAATCAACTCAAAGGGAAGAGAAGATGAATTCGTTATTTTTCACTGTTAATATGGATCATAAAATTTCCATTAATTTTTTTAGAAAAACTGTGTGTTTAATATACTCTTTATATATATAATCATTTTATTAGGGGCTCATACAACTCTTATCCCAATCCATACATACATCAATTGTGTAAATCACATTTGTACATTAATTGCCCTCATCATTCTCAAAACATTTGCTCTCCACCTAAGCCCCTGGCATCAGCTCCTCATTTTTTCCCTTCCC